AGGATGTGATCAGCCTGGCTCTCTCTGAGGTCAGTAATGGAGCAGCAAATGTCACTTCCCTGAAGCAGTCACTTCCCTGATGACAGCTAGCAGAGGTGGCTCTGGGACTGTTATTAGCAGAACTTCTGGAAAACTTGTGGTTGATGGACTCTGTATTGCAAATTCTGTGTCTCCCATGTCTCCCTGTCCAGGCTTGGCTTAGTAAAGACATGCACACTGAAATAAGTCCCCTCTCAGACCTGTGTGCACTGCATATTCAGCATTTGTCTAGTAAACAGAATTCCCCTGGCATCAGGAGAAATTTTAGCACAGAATGAGCCTGGAGCTCCATAAGCATAAGAGAAACACAGTAGGTAATGAAGGCGAGAAACAAAGTTAGGTAACCAAGGCAAGAAATCCAGTCCTCACATCTCTCTTATCCATGTGGTAAAAGAATTTATGATAAACTGGGTTGAAAAATACCTTATAAAATATTAACTAGTGGTGGTGCAGCTGCTCCTCCTAATAGCTTTTGAATGTGTTTGCCAAATTCAATCTTGACAGAGGGAGATCGTATTTTAGTGATGAATTTTGTGTAAAGAGGCAGCATGCAGAAGAGATTGTTGGGACTCTCACTGGCACACTAGGGCTCCAGCTTTAGCCCAGATGCTGTTAAAAACTAGACAATCCACATAAACAAGATAGTCTGTGAACACTCAAAATGTGTGAAAGATTCATCCAGAGCTCAGGCAAAAAAACCTGATCTTTAGTCAATGGTTCTCCCCCACGTGTGAGTTCTCTGATGTCTAATACAAGATGAACTCATCCTGCAGCTTCGCTTTCACTGAAGTGAGAATCACAGGGCACCCACCCAAGGAAACCAGGCTGCACACTTCTGGGGCCTCTGAAATTACTTGTCTTATTCTGCCATAGCCAACAGTGTGACAGATTCTTTTCTGATACTGCATGCTTGATCATGTTGTCTCACTATGCAAAATGTTAGCATGTAACGATGGGAGTTTTACCTGAAAATGAATCCCAGGACTTGGTCCTGTAATTCTTCTTAGAACATTTAGATTATATTGGAGTCTTTCTCCCTAATGTTTCAATATCTCAACTTCAGAAACCCTGTAAACATTCAGAGCAGTTTCTTGCAGGTTAGCTTCTAGCAGTAGACGTAGTCAATGGGCAGTAGTAAGCAGTGCAGTGGTTTTGAAGTGGAGTTAGACGTGTGTCCACATGTCAGTGTTTGGCTTTAGATTTGAATGTTTAGTGGCATTGGATCCAGATTTTGGGTTGTCTGGTTAGATCTATAGGATACAACATGGAACCTGGAGCTAGACTCCAAGTGTTCAGGAACTGAAACCTGGGAATTTGATGCTAGCTGGATCTAAGATGTGTTCTTGGTCACAGAAGTTTCCTGGTAATTGTCCTTTTGTTGTTGTTGCTTTTAAAGTGCAGGTATTTCAAGGTCTAGTATTTCAAGGTATTTCTGCGGCATGCATGCAAATGGCCTAGAAGCAAAGTCTTTATTATAACCTTATGATTATAATATAGCAATAGCCTGAAATGTGTTTTCTAATCCCAGGAGAGGACCAACCTAAGTTATCTTTCTGCAGGACCTAACCAAATGTCATCAGCTGCTCCTGTGCTCTAAATAAGCCGTGATCTACTTCTGAGCTGTGAGGTAACATGTTGCTTGCTTTGATTTGCAGTTCTTCCTGGCCTGCAGCTCAATACCAAACTCACCAAATAAGCCTCATCTAAAAGGGCCATACTCTTTACATGTGTCCCAGGGTTTAATTTCTGTTCCCACAGAAATCCAGCAGTAAAACTCCTTCTCAAATAAACAGAAGCATAAGCAGACCCAAGAAATACTTTCATGCCTCCACCCAACTTGCTGACTTAATTTTCCATGCCACAATTTTAAACAAGTTGTAAACTCTATTGACTTTCACAGACTTTAGACTGGAACCACTACAGAAATAAAAAATATCCATACACAGATTAATGTATTTTGAAAAAAAATATTTTTTTCTTAGATTGCATGTTCAAAACTTGAGCTGCACACTGCATGGTATAGGAACAGTAGTTTGCCAATCCAATTACCACCATGTAGGTTTGTTTTGCTTAGTTCGGCTGTAGCCCCAAGGTGTCAAACTCAGTCAGCAGCAGGAGGTGGACCCCAGGTGTAGTTACAGTCAGTGGCCAAGACATGTCTCCTGGGATGTAAATCATTCTCAGTCTACACTGGAAATGCCCCATCAGAGGGAGGTTTGGACAAAGCCTTCAGGTAGATTGTAGTAGACCTTTAGGGAAAAACTCCTGTTACAGTTAGAGACTGTCGGCTCATACGCCCACCACATTTTGCCTTCTTTCTGCTGTTTCCCAGCTCTTTGGGAAATTTTCTTCCCCTATTTGCCCTCTGCTAAATGGATCAAGCAGTGAACTTGTGCGATGCGGCAGGGAGCAAGAGCCCCCACGTGCATGCTGGCAGGCTTTCTCTGCAGCCCCAAAGGCTACAAACAAGATGAAATGTTGGCTATGCTGGGAGTCACTGCAGGTTTTATCCCAACTCCAGCGCTGCCAGGGAGCAAGGGAAGTTTTGTGCAGGCTGAATTTGGGCCACTGGACATCTCTTTCCTAGGTCTTTGCATCTACAAGGGCACACATGGACCACTGCGATATTAACAACACCTGAAGAATACTGGTTTTTATCAAGGGCCTTGACCGGTGTTACAGCAGGATTGGTTTAACTGTTCAAACTGATTGCTGTTTTGAGGACGAGGGTGAGGGGACAGACTCCTAGCTGGAAACAGTAACACAGCTGTCCTCCCCACCGATATTTTCAGATTTTGGTGTTAATTAGTGCTTTTCACCAACGGGTATGTTTTACTTTAATAACCACTTAAATAAATAAATAAATAAATAATAAAATAGTACTTTGTGCTTTGTTAGCATCATTTGTCCAAAGTCTTTGAAGTGTTTTGCCAAGCCAAGTGTTACTATTTCCTGCGAGTCCCAGCAATCCCAAAAGCCTAACTCCGCTTGTGTTTATATCAATAGGAGCAAGCCCAGCCCCTGGGGACTTGCCTGGCATTACACAGCAAGCCAATGACTGATGGAGCAAACATCACTCAGGTGCCCCAATTCCTACTTTCATGCTGCCCTCAACAGCACCAATTGTACCGTGATTCAAAGAGCAAGTTCCATCAAAATCAAAGAAAATCCCTACTTGCTTAATTTTCAATACTGTTTGTATAATGTCTCCATCCTTGCAGGGCACCAGGGTGTGCTTGGTCTAGTGTTGTTGTTGCTGTTCATTTAACGCTTTCCTTAAAGCCTTCTAAGAGGTTTTTTACCTGCTGTCACCTCCTGGGAAATTCTGGTAAGCAATCTATGCATGCAGGACTGCATGTCTGTGCCATATGTCAACCTTCTTCTGGTTTTCTCTTCTACTGTGTTGTATGTCAGAGACAGCCACAAGGAAACAAGATCCTGGCTGTTGTTGCTGCTTCTCCCCCATGCTCCAGGTCCGATGCCATCACCACAGCAACACAGCACGGCGTCACGGATGGTGGAACAGAGAGCTGGTGCTGCCCGGAGCCAGAAAAAAACAGCAGAAAGTGCATGGTTTGGATGTGTGCTCATAACTGCAACCCAGCAGCGTAAACATGGAAACCTGGAGCAGAACCTTGTCTTACTTGAATGCTGCGCACAGGGTGTAGGTAGGCTTTTCACATTTCGAGTGGTATTGAGTCAGAGTTATAAAAAAGCTGTGATCCTCATCTAAGAGAATCTGTAATGTACCTTATTTTGTGCATCTACTCTTTCTTGTGCCCTATATAAGAATACAACCGTTAGCACCAGTGGACAGAAAAACGCTGCCCTGCTCAGTAGACGATGATAAGAGCTGGGTTGAACATCTCATTGTATGCAGCTCATAGACCCATTAGGTTGGAAGGGACCTCTGGAGGACGCCTGGTCCAACCTCCTGCTCAAGGCAGGCCAAGTTGGATAAGGTTGCTGAGGGTCTCCTTGAGTTTTGAGAATTCCCGAGGGTGGCAATTTCTCTATGCAATCTGTTTGCAGATTTCCATTTACAAATGATCCACCTTTGCCACAAAGGCCAGCTTCCACACGTTCAGTCATTTTTGTATCTTAATGAACAAGTGGGTTGTGTGGGTGCCCGTCAGTTTGTGGATTGCCCACAAACTTCTCTCCTTCTCCACCTCCTCTGAAAGAAAAGAAGAAATTGTACAGATGTTCACAAGAGAAACTTTGAAAGGAGAAGAAGAGGTGAGAATACCTGGGAGGGGCAACAGTTGCAAACAGCAAAAGTGAAATTGTGTTTATGAGCACTTCTGACAGCTTCTGCCCAGCTCTGATCATAACGTCTACTTACATGGTGTTACGATGTCTTGATCTGTGCTTTCTTTTGCTCGGTACCAGCAGCAGGCGAGGGGCACCCAGGGGCATATGGCATTCTGTATTCCAGCCCTCCTCGCCTTCGGTGTGGAAGTGCAGCGGCTTTGAAAATGCAGTCCCTTAACTTAAACCAAGCTGCCTGTCACTCAAGCCAGAATCAGCTGGGGTGGTTTTGGTTCTTAGTCAGTAGGCTCCAGTAGTCAGTCGTCTCTGTTGTCTGCATTTCCAACTGAAGAGAGTGCAGCTGTAGTCAGCTCTGGTGTAGACAATCAATGGGTAACTCACAGGCTTCAAACAGACTTGTTCTGCAGCCCTCTCTGAGAAAATGCATGTGCTTGTGGGGTGGAGGGCACAAAAACTCGCTTCCCCTGTGTAAAGATGACTGAGGTCAGTCCTTAAAACACGCCCAGAACAAAACCATATTTTAAAAAGTATGTGAAATAGCTGCCACATTTTTGTGCGGTACCCTGCTCCCCCAAAATAAGAAATTAGGGTGGTGGTTGTTGTTTTTTAAATGTTAATGCGGAGGAGCTTTCTGATGCATTATGATGGACAACCGGTGATGTATCCCCACTAATCCATGACAAGATTTTTCATTTCTTATTCAGGTGGGCGTGCAGTTCTGCTTCCAAAGCCATCTTGTCAAAGGTGCGCATGTTTGTCTCCTCCCGTACCTTTTCCCGGACATGGAAGGATGCCCGAGCAACAGACCTGGCATTTTCTAAGACAGTCTTCTTCTCCTTGAAGATCTGCTCGCTCCTCTCCAGCTTCCTCTCTATAGAGAGGAGGATCTCCCTGCGCCGTAAATCCTCATACTGTTCCACCTTTTGCTTGTTCATCTTCTGCACTTTCTCCTTCTCCAGACGGCTCAAGACCACCTTGCGGGCTTTTTCTTGGACGACTTCTTCGGCCACCTGGGCAGCATGCTGGAGCTTTCTTTCTGTCTCTCTAGCCAGGGCCTCCAAGTGCTCCTTCTGCTCTCTTTCCTTCTTCTCTGCTGCCAGTTTGGCTCTCTGGATCTGCATGTCCTCCCGCCTGGCCTTCTCCCTCAGCTCCTGGTTCCTCTTCTCCACTAGCTGCTCATAGTTCTCCTGCGCCTTGGTCAAACTCATCTCCAGAGAGGCCTTCAGCATTTCCTTCTCTTCTGCCTCTTGCTTGGCCAGTTCCTTGAGCAAGGCCTCGTGCTTCAGCTTCTCTGCTTGGTTGAGCAGTTTCTTCTCCTTCTGCAGCTGCACCTCCTTCTTCAGCCTCTTCTGCGTGGCCGTGGACAGCTTCTCTTGCAGGAGCTGCTCCTCTCGCTCCCGGTGCTCCTTCTTGCCCTCCTCCTTCGCCTTCAGGTTGTGCTCTTGATGGAGCTTCTTCTGCTTGTCCTCCTGGACGGCCCTCTCCAGCCTCTCCCTCCGCAGCCGCTCCTGTTTCTCCGCTTGCCCCCGCCCCCTCTCCTCGCACACCAGGCGCTGCCTCTGCTTCAGCAGGGCGGCCTCCCTGCGCCCCCCCCCCCCCGCCGCTTCTCCACCTGGCTCTCCCACACCCGCTGGCCCTGCAGGAGGGCCCTCTGCTTCTCCTTCTCCTCCTGCTCCTTCCGCTGCTCTGCCAGGCGCCGCTGGCTGTCCCACTGCAG